TCCTATTTTTGTAGAATTATCCCAGACGTTTCTTGGGCACCCATTTTATTTTAAAACTAGTATTTCTAGGGGTTAACACATTGCCTGGCACAATAGTAAGGGCTTAAACAAAATATGGAACAAATCAATAAGAACAATACCAGAAACATTCACTCCCTGAATTAAATAGCTATGCACTCCTATAACTATTTCAGTCTGTATTTGCAATGACAACTTCACAATGAAAGATAAAGCTGCTTTAGACATGACAGTTCAAGTGCCACCATGATCTATTGCTCTGAAAATTTTTCTTTTGCAAAATCAACTCTAAAGTGCTACCTTTTATTATACAGAGAAATGCACTGCTTTGTTCTTTCTTTATAATTAACTTATAAGATCACATTGTCTTTACTCTTTGCTTTGTAAGACCTGAAATGGCTTTTGGCCAAAAGTCTGTTGACCACTGCGGGGGTGGGGTGGGGTAGAGTGGGGTGGGAACATTTTTCCAGCTTTTCCAAAGGATGGGGGAGGTGAGCAGGGGACTCATTTAAGTTGATTTATCTACACTCTCTTGGCCAGATCCATTTGTGACCATGTGCACACACTTGTGGGACACCTGGCTAAGGTTCTCACGGGGAAATGAACAGAGTTAACAGAATCTATAACTCTTGATTCAATTATTAACTTGGCCTCATTACACCACCTTCTAGCCATTTCACATGGGGAGGTATTGTGTAGGCAGATGTTACTCACTATATAAATAGTTCCTGAAAACCTTGGGGATCCAAAGGCTTCATCATTATCATCATCATCAATAGTAATACTAGCTAACACTTATTGATCACTTAATCTTTTTTTTAACTGTTTTGCATCTACCCTATTATTCCATTTTACAAATAAGAACCTTAGAGGAGAGTGAAAATGGGTAACTTGAATGAGGTGAAATAACTATTGTCTGACCATGGATGTTTTGAGCTCCAGAACCTACCCTCAAACCTGTTTTGTTTTGCAATTCACAAAAGAGAAAATGTTTTTTGAGCCTGGCTGGTATGGCTCAATGGTTGAGCATTGACCTACGAACCAGAAGGTCCCGGTTCAATTGGAGGCTTGCGGAAGGTCAATGATTCTCTCTCATCATTGATGTTCCTCTCTCCCTCTCCCTTTCTCTATGAAATCAATACAAATACATATTATAAAAAGTTCTTTGAAATATACTCCTAAAATCCCAACAGGAGCCCTCCAAGCTGTCAGCGGTCAGTGGTGACTCCAAGTGGTAACCTGGGTGTACTGCATCCATCATAAATCACTCTTGCTCAAGCTCTCCCAAATGACTTTATTCCAAGTAGAGCCAATATGCTCACTCTATGGAGGTAGCTTCATGACAAATCTGCTTATAACCAGATTGCCATCCTTCAAAGTATCTTTTTTCTTTTCTCAAAGAAAGGGGCTTCTTTCCAAGGTTAGCTTGTATTTTGCATCTCATTTCATCTTGTCACACATTTCACTCCATTATTTATCCTCTCCTTTTCTTGCCTCTTCAATTTCCATTTAATTAATGGTCTTTCTTTTAAATCTACAAATAAGCTCCAGTTCTCCTATCCTGGAATGACAAAACAAACAAATAAACAAACTCACCTCTCCTTGATCAATCACCCCAGATCCACCTTCTTGAAAAAGAGTTTCAATAAAGCCTTAAAAGCTTTAATTTTTTTCAACCACCTTTTTTTTTTTTTAAAAAAATGTATTTTTATTGATTTCAGAGAGGAAGGGAGAGGGAGAGAGACAGAAACATCAGTGATGAGAATCATGGATTGGCTGCCTCCCACTGGGGATGGAGCCTGCAATCCAGGCATGTGCCCTTGACTGGAATTGAACCCAGGACCCTTCAGTTCTCAGGCTGACGCTCTATCCTCTGAGCCAAACCAGCCAGAGCTCAATCACCTTTTGAAGTAAAATCTCAGTCCAACATTCAGGATCTTCGAAAATTGGGCCTCAGTTTACCTTCTGGTTATGTCTTCCACAATCCTCCCTAAGCTTCAACCTGACAGGTCCTCATATGTGATTTTTTCCTTCACAAGATGTTATCTCCACTTGGATTTACCTTTATCAGAAGACTCAACATAACCTAATTTAATTAGTTTTATTAAGTCATAATTCTTTGTAGTTACTTGTCCCCCCGTCACCCACTCATACACTACGAGTGCCCGAAGGCAGAGACTAAATATTACCAGGTGATAAAGTAAAAAAATTAGATTGGACTGAGAAAGCAAAAATTCAGCCAGTCATCAGGCTACAATAATAGACACTAATAAAGCCAGCTGCAAATTTAACAGGGAACAGTATTTATCCAAAAGAGATGCAGCTGTAAAGTGATAACAACCCTATTTATTGGAGTGGACACCACCTTTTCTATTCACTGAGAAAATTTATTTTCTGCAATTAGAGATAAGAAACTTTTATGCTTGAAATCATAGTTGTGAGAATGAAACATCCCACATTTGTTTAGAGGGCATGCTTCTTTGACTCAGAGAAGCAGTCTTGATTTCCAATCCAGGTGCAGAGCTTCAGATAAGAGGTATCTGGACACAACATTCCACATATATCTTTGCTTTGTGGTCCCCAAGGAAACAGGACTCTGGATTCACTTCACGGCCCAGACGTGATGTTGACCTCTTCACACAGTCGGATTTTGAGCTTTCCAAAACAATGCTTCTTTAAAATCTACCCAAACTCCACCCTTCCCCCTAAATCCTATAATGACTTTTTTTTATTTGTTGAGATGTCCCACAGTTTTTCTCATGTGGGGTCTCCCTCATTGCAATGGGTCAAAAAGCCTGACTTAAACAATTTTATTGATTGATGAGAGGGAGAGGAGATGGAGAAGAGAGAGGGAGAGAGGGAAAGAGAGAAACAGCCATCATTCTTTGTTCAACTCATTCATATATCTATTAACTGATTCTGTTTGTGTCTTGAATAGGATCGAACCTGGGTATTGAACCACAACCTTGGCATATTCAGACAATGCTCGAACCAACTGAGCTACCCAGCCAGGGCAAGCCTGACTTTTTGGATTACAGATTGGTCCTTGGTGGCTTTGCACTGACTGGGTGTTTTGTATCCCTGGGCCCTTAGCTTGCCCAAAGTAGGCATCCAAAGTTGCTCACTACAGTAGGCTCTGAATTATACCCTGTTTCCCCAAAAATAAGACAGTGTCTTATATTAATTTTTGCTCCCAAAGATGCACTAGGTCTTATTTTCAGGGGATGTCTTATTTTTCCATGAAGAAGAATACGGTACACATTGATTGTTAAATGAAAATAAAGGAAATTTATTACCTGTATATGGTATGGTAGTACGGTAGTTGTCAACACAAACCAGACAAACTGTGAATCCTACAGTATCAAGAATTTACTCATTTATTCAATGACAATCATGTCATCATCTTCTGGAACATCATCATAACAATCCAATTCCTGAATTTCCTGGTGAATTTCTTGTGACTCCATTTCTTTCAGAACCAGTGGACCAAATCTCTCATGTTTAGCCTAGGGGGGGGGGGCGCTTATATTTTGGGGAATGCCTTATATTTCACTCAGAAGGAAATCTATAAGTAGATCTTTTTTTCGGAGGATGTTTTATTTTTGGGGAAACACGGTAGTACTGGGGTTCTAGTTAGAGTACCTGGATTGATTATACGGATTCTTGTCTCAGTTCCACCACTAGCTAGTTAGCAGGATCATCTATAATAATAAAAGCATAATATGTAAATAAACCGAAAGACCGAACAGAATGACCATCTGGACGACCTTCCAGATGACCATGCTATGACATGCAGTGGCGACAGGCCAGCCAAGACCGGTGTGATGTGATTGGTCTGCAAGGCTCCACCATCACTCCATGATCACTCTGCAGCGGGAGGCCCAGGCCACCCTCTGCAGGGCGATCAATGAGGGGGGAGGGGATATGTAATTGATCACCCTACAGAGGGAGGTCCAGGCCACTGGCGAGTGATGCTGTGGCAGGTGTGCTGGGCCAGCCAGTGATCACTCCGCAGAGGAGGCCCAGGCCAGTCAAGCGATCACACTCCACGCCTGTGACCCACAGAGGGAGGCAACCAGTGGCAGTTGGGGCCAGTGTCCTACAGATGGCAAGCAGTGGCAGCCAGGGGAAGGAAAGCCCAGATAGGCCCCGATCTTTGGCCAGGCCTAGGAATGCTACCCGAGGGGTTCTGAATTGCAAGAGGGTGCAGGACAGGCTGAGGGACACTCCACCCCCCATCCCTTGCACAAATTTTGTGCACCCAGCCTCTAGTCTTACATAAAAGTCAATGCATCCAATTGGTGTTTTTTCTTCTGTAAAACGAAGGGTTGTGACTTATAAAAAAAAAAAAAGGGTTGTGGCAAGGGTTTTGGTGTCTGGTAAACCCAGTTACTGCCACTAGTAAGAAGTGTGATTTTTGCTTTTCTGAACCTCCCTTTCTATTTTAATTACTAAAATGGATAAAATACTAAAAACTGCCTTGAGGATTTCCCAGTGCAATGAGAATCAAGTTGGCTGTTACAAGCATCACTATACTTGTTCACTAGTCCTATTATACTTCCACTATGTGAGTTAGGACCCGTTAACCTTTGTGTGTCTCTGTTTTCTTATAAATAAAAGTGAAGAAACAATAGTCCCTGAACCAATGGGATTACTGTGGGCATTAAATGATATGAAAATAGTAATGGTATTGAAAAGTGTCTCGCATATTATTAGAGTCTTACAATTTGTGAGCTAAACGAATTAGTATTTGATTTCTACTACTGACTACTCTGTGGGCTAGGAGCTCGGGACAAAACGAAAAATCGTTCTGCAGGCTCCACACAGTGCAACACAATGCAGCACTTCTCTTTCAAAAGCGATGGACACGCCCAGCTGTGGGTTTAGAGCCTGCCCAGTCCTCATTAAATATGGCAGCGAGGGGGGGGCGGGCTACCTAGTGCGGCTGCGCAAGCGTAAACCCCTCCCAGCTCCTCGATCTCAGCTGCAGTTTAGGTCCCGCCGTCTCCGAGCTGGCATCGCCCCCTCCCGGCTTGCCCAAGGTGTGGGGAGAGGGCCCCCGCCAAGGCGCGCAGGCGCACACGTCAACTCTGCTTGGCCGATACTTGGCGAGGCGCCCGTCACGTGAGCCGCGCGCCAGCTCGGCCCCCTCTCCTCCGGCTGTGAATGAAGCTCAGCCGGCTACGTGGGGCGCCAGCTCAACTTGGCGTTCTGGGCGCCAGTGCCAACTGATCGCCCGGCCCGCCAGCCGCCGGCACGGGCTCCACCGCTCCGGATCTCGGCGACAGGTAAAGACATTAGAGCTGTCCCTTCCCTAACAGGTCCTTCGCGGCCCACTGGCCCCCGGCCCACCCCCGAGTACCCCCTGCGATCGGTGACAGGGAGAAGCGCTCCCCGCTGGCTCGGCCCCCTGGAGATGGAGGTTCCCCATGCCTGGCCACCGCCTGGCACCCGAAGGAGTTAGACCGGCTAGTTCCAGCCAGCCAAGGGTGGCATCTTCTCGGGAGCCCAGCCCTAGTCTCCGAGCTCTAGGGTCCCAGCGAAGTTTTCTCGCGGAGCGGCGCCAAGCCCGCCCCGTTTTGGAAAGGGGGACGTAGCTGCTAGGGGCCCCCTTTCCAGAACCGGAGCGGGTGGCTTTGGCTGGCAAAGCTCTGTCAAGGCCCCGTTCTTCTGCCTCCTGCTCTGGACTCACGGGGCGGTGTAGGTCTTAAGAGAAGTTGGAGTCCAAACTCTCGGAAAACTAGTTGCTGCTGGTTTTTTCTCTTTTCTTTTCCCACTTAGCGGAAAGGCGGTTCTCTCCAGATTGTCCAGGCTTGCGCCTGAGCGCCTTCACCGTGAAGGGCTTTTCCTTCACATTGATGCGCCTTTACCTTACATTTCAGAGCAAATCAGTTTCCTGGACTGCCAAGTGAAGCCGTGCGGGCGCGCCTGATAACGCCTGTGTAAGCTACCTCGCCTAAGTGAAGGAAACCCAGAAGTGGGGGGTATAGAAGCCAGTAAGAATCTGCTTTATATCAACTCCATACGTGTATTAGCAATGATCTGGGTTGGACTTCAGAGATGTTACATTTTGCTTGTTTCCACCAAGCGCGGATTGGAACTGTGTAACTGCACCCGAAATAAGGGGGAGGGGGAGGGAGGGAGAAGAAGGCAAACCCAAACGCTTCTTCGCATTCTTCTTTCTTTTTTTTCCTGGCAAATCCATCCTAGGACTTTGTGGATCTTTCTTTATGCAAAGCGTTGTCTTTTCTCTGCTGTAGTTTTTGGAACTAGTGTACACCATTCGCACTTTGTCCTTAAAACATCCACGAAGAAGGCCAAAATGATCGCTCTCAACTTGGCGTTAGTCTTCATATGTGTGTGCTAGTGCTTTTCATTTCGTGTTGCTTGTATAAAAGCTATGGAGCCCGGCCAGCGTGGCACAGTGGTTGAGCATTCACTTATGAATGTGGAGAGGTTTGATTCCCTGTCCCGTGCTAGGGTTGCAGACTCCATCGCCAGTGTGGGGCGTGCAGGAGGCAGCTGACCATTGATTCTCTCTTTATCAATTGATGTTTTGATCCCTCCCTCTCCCTTCCTCTCTCTAAAATCAATAAAAATGTATTTAAAATATATTTTGAATGGGGAAGGTTAGATTTTTATGGTTTCTGCCCCTACTGGGGATGGGACCTGGGACACTTCAGTCCTTAGGCTCTATCCACTGAACCAAAACTGGCTAGGGCCGATCAAAATATATTTTTAAAAAGTTGTGGAAATAACGCTGTGCTTCGAGGTTGACCAGGTCAGAAAGATTAGAACATTTTCTTAAAAAAAAAAAAAAAAAAAAAAAAGCAGCCGAAACCGGTTTGGCTCAGTGGTAGAGTGTTGGTCTGCAGACTGAGGGGTCCCAGGTTTGATTCCAGTCAAGGGCATGTACGTTGGCTGCGGGCACATCCCCGGTGGGGGATGTGCAAGAGGCAGCTGGTCAATGTTTCTCTCTCATTGACATTACTGGCTATCTCTCTCCTTTCCTCTCTGTAAAAAATCAATAAAATATTTAAAAAAAAGCAAATTGGCTCATATGCTAAGTAAGGAAGACCAATTTATTAATCGAGAACTTGTTTAAATAAATGGACAAGCAAAGTGTTCAATATATTTAAACTCAAAATCAAAGTAGTTGAATCTTTCATCCCCCCCATTCCTAGTACCTTTTAAAAAAAAGTCTTCATTGACTTTTTTAGAGAGAAACAGGATAGAAAGATAAAAATGTCAATGTGAGAGAAAAACCAATTGACTACCTCCTATATGCTCCCTACCAGGGATCAAGCCCAAAACCCAGGGACCCAGGCATGTGCCCTGACTGGGAATCGAACCAGTGACCTCTTGGTTCATCATTTGACGCTCAACTACTGACCATCACCAGCTGGGCCCTAGCATCTTTTATGTCCTTGCAAATAGTATTGTCCTAAGGTGGAATTTGACATTTAAAAAATGGGAATGAGCTGGAATAACTTGACTTTATTAAAGTAGTACTTTATTTTGTCTTTGGTCTTTCTCCACTCCCTCCCCCATTATGAAAGCAACATATGCTCCCTACAGGACATTGGCAAAGTGTGGAAAAGTATAATGGAGCAGAGAGGAAGAACCACTCGAGGGCATCACTCTTTTTATTATGCTTCCTTCCTTTTCTTTTCCTATATAAGATCTATTTGAAACTTTTAGTCACAACATTTGCTGCCCCTTCTACACTTTCTGTTAATGTGAAGTTGGGGGTTTGGGAAAGGGCATTGGATATCATGTTGCTTTTTATTTCCCAAAGCATGGGACATCAAGATAGGAAAGATGCTTAACAATGATCTCCTCCAAGCACCCATCCTTGAAGATTCCACATCCCATTTGTTGAAGGTCCCGAGATCCACGCAGAATTGAACAGCACTTAGTGGCAATGTGAACTGAATCTTGATCTTCCCACTTTATGTGTCTGCAGCGATCCCTTACGGCTTAGGATCAACTTGATACTGCCTGTGTGCATATCTTTGAAAGAGAGGTTTAGGGTGGGACAGGAGATAATTTTCAAGGATTTGAAATATTTTTTAAATTCAGGTATCCATTTTTTATTTACATTTCCAGGGTTGGGGCTTGAACGTCTGTCATAAAGTAAGACCGCACCGCGGCTGTTCCAGCTATATCCCTTTAAAACATCCCTGCAAAACTGGAGTGCTCTGGGAAACTCTGAGCCTGTGACCTCAACGTGGGAGTGGATAGGATCAGCATGGCCATGTGGCAGGGTAAGAAAATTAGCACTCTTTCCTCTAGCTGGTTTTTCCTCCTTCTCTATCTTCCACCCCTCGTCCCCCCAACCCCAGCTCCTGGCAGGCAGCCAGCTGTTTCTTTAATTTAACCCTTTTTCTTCACTAGGACAAAGCGTTTGTGTTTAAAAGAAGTTCGCTGGCTAGAAGTGAAAAATGTTTAAAACTGGGGATGGAGGAGTGGTCTGGGAAGTAGAAGGAAAATGTCGCGCCAGAAGCATTTTCAGAAAATTTCCTTTGTTTGAACATGTGCTCGTGAGGGTTCTATGTGGGGAAACAGTATATTTTTTCATATTTGTGTTTTTCATTTGTTTCTGGCAGTTTTCTATCATAAGGTTCTCAAAGGTGAAGGAGAACAGATGTCAACACCTTCCTGGCATCCTCTTCCAAATAAAAACTTTAAAGCATATTTAATGTTACAATGTTTATGTTTGGTGATAGAAGGAAAATGCCTGTTTAATATTACGAACTACTCAAGAGCAAAGCTCACTGATATCTTGCCTGTTGGATTATATCTTTTGTAAAGCTGTGAATTGCTGCTGGCACAAAGTTATTTCTTACTTTTAGTGGAGCTGAGGATTGGGCCCTTTGGGATAGTATCAGAATCTTCAGGGGTGCGTGGGCTTTTTATGTTATCAAAGGCGAGTGTAGGTTTAGACTTGGTAGAAAAACCTACCCAAATTGGTCTATGACCCACAAAAGGTTAAGGATGGGGTAGAATGAAGAGTTTGGCTGTCTATAAATACTCAACAGGTAGGTTTGTTGGTGGTCTGATGTAGCTTTTAAAACTGTATCCTGTTGGTTATGGCTTCAAGTATGGAGTCACACAAATATAACAACTGTTTTTTTTGACATAGAGGATTGTCAAGTTAAAGACATTTGTTGAAATGGGATTCTGCCTGTATGCCTGCTTTGACTCACACAATGGGCATTTATCTGGAGCAGTTTGACTATTCTTGTTAAGTCCTGAGATATTCATTCATCCAACAAACAGAATACAGAGATGAATAATACACGGGACATTAGACAGTTCCTTGTCTTATGGAAAAGACAGATAAATAAACAAAAATTGTGTCAGGCTGAATAAGTGTGATAATAGGGAGAGGTACAAAATGCAATAGATGCCCAGAGGAAAGCATAATGAACTCTGAGTTTTGAGCCGGTCTAAATAAACGAGTGGGAGTTTGCCAGATGGGCAAATGAGAGAGTTGCATTCTGGGCAGACAGAGAAGCACTGTTTGAGAACTTCTAAGTTGCTCTGTGTGCCTCGTGTGAGATGTATGGGGCATGACCTCAGATGAAGCTGGGAAGGTAGTTGGGGGGGGGGGGGCAGGCGCCAAATAAAAAAGAGCCTTGTATGTTCTACGGAGGATTTTACACTTTTCCTGAACACAAAGATTCTAAACATGGAAGTAACATGGTCAGATTTTGTTTAAGTTGACTTTGGCAGCAGTGTTGAAGTGGGGTTGGGAGCTGGATAGAAGGAAAGCCAAGAGCATTTGGAGAGTTTCTGGTATTATATATTGCTTTAGGGAAGAGATGGTAAAGGTCTGAGCAGAAACAGGAGCAGCAAAGATAGAGAGAAGGGAATGAGTTCTAGAAATGCTCAGGGACCAGATGTGGGAGGAAGTGAGCCTGGGGCCATTGGTGCTATTCATTCAGAAGTGGAGCGTGGGAGGTTATGAGAGGGACATGGGGATGGATGGTAGGAACTTACTGCACCTCATTTTGTTTGGCTTGTTTTGTTTGAGACACCTGTGGGCTGTCAGGTTACTGTTTAAAAGCCAATTATGAAAATATGGGACTGGAGTGTGCGCAGATGAAGATCTGAAGTATTGTTGTAAATGATGCATAAAAAGCACATGTGTTTTCTCTGTGTTTAATGGAAATGCCATTAGTAGTTAATGATTTACTTATTGTTATAATACATATATTTTAATGGATAACAACTTTTAATAAAAAGGTCATTCATTATTTTCTTAATAAATAATATATTTTGCTATCTCAGGCCCTGGAATCTGATCTGTCTAAAATCACATTGGAGTAAAACCCAATTTTTCTAACATTAGTGAAGAAGGAAGTATGACACCTAAGTAACTACAATACATTTCTTGTTTTGGGCAACCTCTGAAGTGACAAGCATTATACAATAATAGTTTGGGTGGCAGCATAGTATAGTAGTTAAAAGTATGGGTCTGGGTTCAACTCAATTGGTTCCATTTGATAGCTGTGAGACCGTGGGCAAGCCCCTTAATCTCCTCTGTGTCTCAGTTTTCACCTTTGTAAAATGGGGATAATAATAGGACTCATTTTATAGGGTTGTTGTAAAGAATGAATTAATATATGCAAAGCACTGGGAACATAGTAAGAGTCCTATAAGATGTGTGCCATTATTACTAGTACTGAGACATTTAGAATATTGTGTCTCATATAATAAGTGCTCAGTAAAATGTAGCAATAGCTGTTGTTTCTACTACTACACTTCTATTACTACTATTCCTGCAGGCAATTTCATGTTGTTCTTGGAAGCCCCATCTTGTGTGGGTCTGTTTGGGTCTTTAGGTAGAGGTTTAGAACTGAAGAGATCCTTAGTAAACCTCTAGCCCAAACCCCAGAGCTAAGTGACATGCCCACAATCCAACAGGCTGGTAGTAGTGACTCAGGTCTCTTGATTCCTTATTCTAATTGTTTTCCATGGGCTCATGGAAGAGGGTATGTGTGGGCCTTTCAGCTCATGGAAGCTCTGAGTCAGTCTCTGAAGCTAGCTGAGGAAATCTTAAGTGGTAGAGGAAGCCAAGTTTCCTTAGTTTCTCAAGTCACCTCTGTTCAGTTCTTCCATGGAGAACTGGATCAGAATTGCCATACCTCTTAAACATGGCCAACGTAATTATTTTGACTTCTTGATGGAGCCCTCTAATACATTCCCTGGCCACTTTCAACAGAGTATACTGGGCATAATTTAGTATATATATATATATTTTTTGCTAACTTAGGATCATTATTAATAACATCAATTTTATTGGCTTAATAGTTAAGGAAATGTTGCAGAGAAGACTAGCCAGTTTGGGATGAGATAAGTTTGGAGACTTGTGTTGTCAGTTGTTATTTATTTTATTTTATTTTATTTTTATTTTTATTATTTTTAAAAATATTTTTATTGACTTTTTTACAGAGAGGAAGGGAGAGAGAGAGAGAGAGCTAGAAACATCGATGAAAGAGAAACATCGATCAGCTGCTTCTTGCACACCCCCTACCTGGGATGTGCCCGCAACCAAGGTACATGCCCTTGACCGGAATCGAACCCGGGACCTTTCAGTCCGCAGACCGACGCTCTATCACTGAGCCAAACCGGTTTCAGCAAGTTGTTATTCATTTATTCAGTTAACATTTATGGCCCTGGCCAGGTAACTCAGTTCGTTAGACTAGAGCACATGTGTCAAACACAAGGCCCGCGGGCCAAATCCGTCCCGCCAGGCCTTGCAATGTGGCCCGCACCGCGCTGTCATCACTGCACTCTGCTGCGTTTCTATCACAATGACAGTTTATGACTGTTCAGTAAACCATTCGGCCCGCGATTTAGGCTGGATTTTAGATTTTGGCCCCTTCTCTGATTGAGTTCGACACCCCTAGACTAGAGCATTGACTCCATACGCCAAGGTTGTGGGTTTGATACCTGGCTAGGGCACATACAAGAATCAAACAATGAATGTATAAATAAGTGGAACAACAATTGATCTCTCTCTCTCTCTCTCTCTCTCTCTCTCTCTCTCTCTCTCTCTTTCTCTCTCTCTCTCTCTCTCTCTATATATATATATATATATCAAATCAATCAATCAATCAATCAATCAATCAATCAAATAAAGATATTTAGGAAGCACCAGTTGTGCATCAGGCACAATGGTGTAATGGTCAGTAAAAACAGGTATGGTCTCTGCTCTCATGGAGCTTGCCAAATAAGATAAAAGTAGCATTTCAAATTATTGGAATGTGCTGAAATGATTTGTAAAAATTATACCAGTATAAATTTAGAGGGATTAAAACAATTTCTTAATAAAAGAGGGGGTGCATCAGAATTGCCTGTGGTGCTTTTTAACAATATTTCTGTTCAGGTTTTACTCCCCTTCCAAAATTGTGATTCAGTCTTAAGATATGAGCATTTAAAGAAGCTCTGTAAGCAATTCTAATGTATAATCCTGTTTGGGAACTGCTGCATTAAAGAATCTAAAATTTGATGGCACTTGGATTCTGATTGAATACTATAGTTGCTAAAATGATAATGTAGAGTTCTATTAGGTTCATGATATGATGTTAAAGCGTGGGGCAGAGGGAGATTGATCTCAAATTATCAATAGTTAAAAGTCTGAGCTCTGAGCTTATAGCTGGATTGAAATTCCACCTTTATAAACTGCATGATGTTGGGAAGTAACTGACTTTAGTGTTCTTCAACTTCCACATCAGTTCAAGATGGATAAAATAGCAACAAAACAGCAGAGAACCTAATAGTTCCCAACTTGTATACACCCATTAGGATCCTCTAGGGCAGTGTTTTTCAACCTTTTTTGGGCAAAGGCACACTTGTTTCATGAAAAAAATCACGAGGCACACCACCATTAGAAAATGTTAAAAAATTTAACTCTGTGCCTATATTGACTATATATAAAGTAATTCTCTTGAATAGGAATCAAATAAACACAAAGAAAGTATTTTATAATTACTTTATTATGAAATATTAAGTAAACAAAATAGTGAAAAATTATAAAATTCTTGTCTTGTCTGCACCTACGGCACACCAGGCAACATCTCGTGGCACACTAGTGTGCCGCGGAACAGCGGTTGAAAAACGCTGCTCTAGGGATCTCTTAAACCCATCCAGGCTCATGCCTTACCTAGTCCAATTAAGTCAGAATCTCTGGAGACAGGATTTTAGAAGCCCCCCATCCCAGGTAACTCCAACGTGTAGACAAGTTTGGGAACAGCTG